GGGGGGGGGGGGGGGGGGGGGAGCCCAAAGCCTCAGGGGCTGGAGCCAAGGAAGCTGGCCCTTAGGTTCCCACTCCTGGTTTAATCTTTCCCTGGGCATACCAGGGCTGAGCTCTGACAGCTCTAGGCTGGGTAGTTCATAGCCTGGAAACTCCTTGCTTGTCACATCAGTTATGAAAGTAAAAAGGTTGCTTCAGGCCTGGCACCTATTTCCTTTATGCCAGCACCTCTTTTGCTACAAATTAAGCACTGGTAAGACCTAGACTGATATTCTCCAATAAGCCCAAGGAAGTTAGATTCCCAAATCTTAGACTACCAAAGGGAGTTTGGTAGTTAACTCATGTGGGTTCCTTTGAAAATCCAACCTGATGTCCAGCTGAAATCCAGAAATGCTATGCACAGAAACCTGTCAGTATTTAATGGGAAATTATCCATATGCCCCCTGTCTCTGAATGTCAGCCATTCCCATTCAGAAGTATAGTATCATGTCAGAACTCAATTTCTTTAAAAAGAACAAAAGCCCAAATCCTGAGAAATAATGCTGCCTTCCACAACATGGTGTAGACAGCATAATCTGGGAAACTAGAATCAGTGTGGCTTTTTCCTAGCACTCTTGAAATAACTGATTTTTGTTCTGTTTTTGTTCTCCAGTACTTTGCCTCAGAAATCAGCAGCTATTATGCCAAAGTGTAGTAGCCTGCAGAGATGCACAGAGACCTAGATATGAAGCTTGATGCTTGAGAAGTTGAGTATAATTCCACTATAGTTCCAGGCAGGTTTTTATCTATTTACTGGTGATAGAAGTTCCCAGGCATTTCAGAGCACAATCTATCACCCAGCATGTCATACTAAGCTTCCTCCTTTCCCCAAGTCCTCAGTGTAGTATAGAAATTCCCTTCCTATATGGGGAAGGTAGAGGAAAAGAATGTACATCCTACTCCAAAGCCACTGTCATGTCTCTCCTTGAATTTGATACCGAAGGCTCGGGCAGCTGGCAGCTTTCCACGCGGGACAAAACTCACTACTTTTACTATACCATTACTCACTTTAGGCCAGAGATGTCTGTTTTGATTATTCAGGTCTCCCGTACCTCAGAGCCACCTGTACAAAACATACAAAAGTGATTCTGTTACTATGTTCACTGAAATAATCCTAGCAGGAAAAGATATCTAATCCCTAGCATGATGTCTTACACTGTGTCTAAATTAAAAGCCCCTCTTTGGATAAGAAATCTATATTTTGTACCATCTTCATGGAAAATAATCTTGATTGCTATTGTCACAGATGGGCCCGAGTCAATAACTAAGATCTGAACACCTTAGCTAGGTAACGAATTTAAGGAAAAGCCTGGTTCTAAACACTCGGTTTCAAAATCTGGCTGGGCATTAGCATTTTCCCAACTGTTATACAAGTAGGTTTGAACTGATTCCTGTATTCTAAACATAGGTCTGAGATATGGATCCAGGTTTTTGGTCTCATCCCATTTTAACTCTCACATCTGCTTAATGTTAAAAAGCTTGTCATCTCGACTATGAAAAATGGTAGAACAATCACCACTGATTTCTCCTCTGCTTCCTAGAGTCTGAGTAGATTCAAAATTCTCCTCACCAAAACTTTATGCAGTGGCTGTCAGATGGCTTGAATATTACCAGGAAACACGTGCACTTTTCCGGCTGTTCAAGTGATACTAACAGCACCATTCTCTCTCTATTTAGTTTAAAAATTAGGTTGATAATGATAATGTACCTCCCATTGATGATCTCCCACTTTTTAATGATACCCATAGTTCTCCCCTACATAAATGACTACATCTTCACAGAATCTCCATCTTGATTAGCACTCCTGCTAGTAAAATTTCACATACTAAATCAGTACCAGCTGCAGCAAGAAAGAATGAAAAAGGCAAGTGTAAATGTTCCATATGCCCTACCAAATTGGCATCTGTGTCAGTAACCCTGTGGTTTTTTTTTTAAACAATTGTATACATACATTCTCAGAAGTGTTTTGCTAAAAGAATTCTGCAAGCAAAATTCTCTCTGTTGGTACATCACTGAAATGTCACATCTAAATACAGCAAATAGTTTTGTTTTTTCTTTATATACATAACATGTAGATTCAATTAAATGAAGTTGCTTCAAATTTACTGTACCTTTATTATGATGTCCATTCACTGTAACATGACACTGGAGTAGTCTTGCAAAGCTGCTTTACATTTAGAGTTTAGTTATTAGTAACGTTACAGACAGCCAAAGTTACTATGGCATTTTAATCATTTCCAAGTTGAATTCAGAAATAAAGAGTCAAGTTCCAAATCAGATATTCTAGAACACAGTGTTGGGAAGTATTTGTAATAACCAACATCTCTGCTTTCAAATGACTCATGGATGACGATACATTGAGAAATATTTATCAGAGATAACCCAGAGATTGCAACAAGGTAGAAGCAGGGACATCCATTGTCTTAGCTTAATAATGAAGAGTCACTATTAGGTAAGACAGCTGCTATAGCCTCTTGGGACATCAATATGATACTAAAATGTCTGAATATCAGCTCCTTCATCATACTGCCGCCCATGAGACTAGAGCATAGCACAATCATTCCACATTCAAAAAAAAAAATCACTGAAAAGTAACCAGCTGTATCCTGGGTGAAAACATGTTAAGACATTTATGTTCTTGCTGTCACTGGGACTTGATCAGTTTGAAAATGGACTTTTCAAATTAACACAAACATCCCTCCCCTCTCCAAATGGCTAAAAAATGCTGATAGCTTCTGTGGAAAGATTATATAGGCCCAGATCTTCAGCTGATGTCAATCCATGGGACTTCAATGGAGCTATGCTGATTTATGACATCCAGGGATCTGACTTGCATAGAAAAATATTTAAAAAAATCATACCGTTTCCCCAGCATATGATAAGAAATCTTGTAGTTAAGAAGAAAACAAATTTAATAGCATTAATAGAAAGATGTATCCAGAAATATTTTCCCTCATTTCCAAAAGCCTGGGAGACCCTCTCGAAACATGTGACAGTGCTGTCCCTCTGTCACATGATACAGTGGTGACACATGTTCTATTTTTACAGTGCTACCTGGAATGTATATTTGCATACCACACCATGCTTGTCCACGGTAATCAGAAGCCATTATTTCCAAAAGCTAAAGTGTCCCTCCTGGACCCTCGTATGCCAAGCTTCAGCTGAGTATTTTCATATGGTTGTTATATAATTGTTTTAAAGATGTTTGTAAGGAAATTCTGACAGAATCATAACTGTGGTATCACATTAGTACTACTGCGCCTGCATCTGTGGCAGAGGTTCCTCTTAGCCTTCTATAGGGTCATGGATAATGCCACTTTAAAAAACACCTCTAATCTAATACTCCACACCAGTAATGATCAACAAAAACCCAACCTATCAAGGGTAAAGTATTTAGAATAGGGAACTCTGGGCAGGTCTACACTAGGAAATTATTCTGAAATAGCATATTTTGCAATAATAACTCTTGAAATAACTATTTTGAAATATCATGTCCACACTACAGAAAAGCCTCAAAATTAATCCGAGACAGGCTCCCTTAATGTGGACGCACTACCTCAACTTAGAGTCTTGGGAACCACTGGGGAGTAATTACTTTGAATAACTTTGGGGAGCAGTTATTACAAAATAGCAGCAGTTGAACATCCACAATACCGCTATTTCTATATAACTATTTTCAAATAAGCATTATCCCTCATGGAAAGCGGGAGTTATTTCAAAATAACCAGCCCCTTATTTCAAAATGGATGCTCCACTTGAAATAACTTCCTAGTCAGAGCCATGACTCCAAAGATGACACCCTAGCTTCTCTGAAATCAGTGAGATTTTATCCCTCAGGTCTCTTCCTAGCTCTGGCAATGACTTTCTATGCAATATTGAGCAAACTTATTCATCTTCAAAAATGGTCATGAGAGGTAGCTACAGAACATATTTTCAAGGTTCTGGGAAGTTTAGCTAATTAACATCAGTAAAGAAAGTAAAAGTTCCTTATAGTAAAGATGGAATATAAATGCAATTAAAGAAAATATATTCAAAATGGTCTTCAGCAAATATTGTTCTTTTTTCCCCTCTGCAGGAATCGTAAGTATGTAACATGGTCTTCCAGGCCAACACATTAAAGAAAAACACTCTTATCATTCCAAAACGGAAACTTATCATGATAAGAATAGGCTGCTAAAAGTTCTGTGATCATTAACAGGTGAGAGAGATTTTATTGCCCTCTCTGCCCCCACCCCAATTTCTGAACTTTCTGCTTGCTTCTATGCTACTTCTAGATGCCATTGAGACTACAGATGTATATAAATGTACAGAGTTTTCCTCATCAAGAGATTAAAGCAGAGCCCGTTCAATATGTATAAGTACAATCACACACTCACCAACTATGTTTTACGCCTGCCTGCAACCTAAACAGCTGAACAGATTGTGATGAAATTCAGACACTGACAATTTGATGAAAAAAATGCTTTTTGTCTAAAAATCTGGCATCCAGAAGTTTTGCAAATCTTAACATTTTATTTTGAAGAGAGGGACCAGTCTTATTGAAAATCTATAAGGCAAATATGTAGATTTTTGTGTTTTGTGTAAGATTTTTTTTAAATACATGCATTTGTCCAGCATTGCGATTTTTCCAATGACATGGGTGCATTTTCTCTCCCTGACATCAGAGACTTTCGCTATATTTATCTAATAAGCACTCTTTGCCTACCAGTGTTTCAATGGTGATTTAACAGTAGTTTCAGTGTCAAATTGCCCTTTCCTCATCAGGGATTGTTAAGCCTTTCTGTATTATACTTCCAAGACACTCACGAGCTGGAGTTGGGAGATATAATATTTTCTTTGAAGTTTGCATTTCACAACACACTGGGATGCAAACAAGCTCCAGTTTCTTGTTAGTCAAACAATTTTGGCACACAGGGACTAGGACTAAATATTGTACCAAATTTTCTAATTATGTCTTTGTGATATATACTACATGATGATAGGTGAAAGCAGATTCTAATCAATATAAAACCCCTTGTCTAAACAGGACATCTGGGCTTTGAAATATTCTGTTTGTTGTCTCAGAATTACCCTGTAGCAAGCCACCACTGAAGAACAAATATCTTGGTGAAAAACTTATCAGAAATGCTGAAAAGTTCTCATAAACAGATGAGTGCTTTTCTCTTGTTGCTTAAGGTGCCGTAAACCTCAAGATAAAAGTCAAACTTGAGTATGTATAAATTTACAAAAAATGTATGCTAGTGTAACATTAGGTTTACAAATGTTATAGCTCAGAAATCATGCAATGTTAAAGTTAAGATTCTCAAAGTTATCCTACCTTGGCCAGACTGCATATCTTGTGTGCTTCATAGTATAGATATTGAGCAACATAATGATTGTATAATAATATACATGTTTCTAAAGCAACACATTTGTAATATGGCTAAGTTAATAGGCTTATGAAAACTTAAGTTTATTGTATCATTGACCTGATTCTCACCTGATATAAATCAGAATAGCTCCATTGATTTCAAGAGAGTTACAGCTATTCACACCAACTAAGAATCTGAGCCCTATCTTTGGAGCATTTGGTGCCAAATTCTAATATCCACACTCATATAAGTAGTACCTTATTTTGTAAATTGCCCCATGTATGTTACTAGCAATATTCATAAAATGGGGTAAACTCAAAGGAAGAAAGAGAGACAGAATCTGGTCCTTAATTAGCAATATTAACATTATATTCATGTTAGTTTTAGAGAATAGTTTTGTTTTGTTTTGAGACAAAATCCTGAGAAGTCCAGTGCTGCTAGGTGCAGGTAATTTAGATGATCTGTATTCTTTGCTGGAGGAACTTACCCATTCTTTAAACTGGAATTCTTGAGAAGACTGACTTTACAAACACTTTCTTAGCTTCACCTGTCAGCCCCATGATTTGCTCTTGCTGTGACTGTAAACTCCACAGGAAAAAAGCTAAGCTGAAAGGAGCCTATCAGCTCTGCAGGCTCACAGACATTTCAGTGCGGAACATATTTCTACATTCAACTCCATCTATCGCAGAAGTTTTTTATACTAAAAACATTCCCTGTAGATAATGAGATGGATTCTGGCTCCCAAAGCAGCTGCTTTGCAAAGCTGGCTTGTCCAGTGATCCAAGAATTGCCCTGGGGTAGGGATATCCCCAGATGGCAGAGGGCCAGCACAGTTAGCTTTATGCCATCCCAACCAGTGGAGAGAGGATGAGAGCATGGTGGCTCTAACTGGTGTCAGCCAGCTCCAGGATATGGGTGGTTTAAAGGAAGCACAAAGTTACTTTTTCCCTTCCTGAAGCCCTGTGTGAAAGGAAGATTAGCTAGACCTGGGAGGGTCTAGCCTTTTATCTACAATGCTAAGCTAATGTTGCCTTTAGTAATGTAGCCCCAACATGAGCACCAGTTACCACTAGACATTATTAATTATTGTTACTGCTGTAGTACCTAGAGGTCCCATGGAAAACCAGAACCCCATTGTTCAGGATACTGTACAAATACATATAAAGACACAGGCTGGGAACCAAGAAAGAACACAGGTGTCTAAGATACTCATTTAGGCACATAAGTCCCCATTTTGGCTCCACTGTGATCTCCAAGACTCCTATGAAACTCTGTAGTTGCTTAAACTCAGCATCTAAGCTACTCAGTGTAAAAGGCCCCTTGGTGCCTATGTTTGTGATATCGGGTATGCTCACTGCTGCCTCTCTCAAGGTGTCCAGACACCCAGGGACAGCAAGCTGCATAACCTGGGAGAGGCTTCCACAACAGCCAGGCATGGCCCCACCCTGCTCTGCCCCAGGCTGCCCCCTCCAGCTTCCTCTGGGGCTCTCCAGGTATGGTAGTTCTAGCCACCTCACCTGCCCTTTTTATGCTCTGGGGCTGGAGACGCTGCAGCTGCCTCACCCACCCTCCTGTGTTCCCAATGACTGGTGCTGCAGCTGGGCCACCTATCCTCCCTATTGACTCTCCCAACGCTACCCTCCGGGGCTGAGGCCATGCTGCCTGCCCTGCTGGTGTTCTAATGCTCCACATGTAGTGCCTGCAGGCCCTGGTCCACAGAGAGCAGAATCGAACCTGGGATTTCTGGAGTTTCTGCCACATGAGCTAAGAGCCAGCTGGCTTGTAGCTAAGGCTGTAGAGCAGACTCATTATTCTCTCTAAGTGATCTTGGTGCCACTAGATGGATCAGAATACCACGACCAGTAGGAGTGTGAGTTACACAGACACTGGTGCTATATTACTCAGCTTCAAGGTGCTTTGGTGCTGGGAGGGCTAGCCTCCGGGCTCTGAATTCCAGTGGGAGGCAAAAGGGGCAGGCCTCAGGGAGAAGCGGTGGGGCCAGTTGCTAGCCTCCCCCTGCCAGCAGTTCACTCACCATCTCTGCAGACTCTTGTCTCTTGCCTAAGACCCAGAGTGATCCCCAAATGAGGGGAAAAGAGGCAAAATGGCCATCTATGGTGAATATGAGGCATAATCTAGTAGGTGTTCTTAGAGGATGCCTAATGGGTCTGCTTCCATTCAAAATATGGCCAGAGGAGATAGCAGCACTGATCACCTTGTACATTTTAGCCCAGTAATCAGAGTAATCTTCCCATATGTGAGAGACAGTCCTTCTCTGCCCTGTTCTCTGCTCTGTTCTTGTACTGTCAGGGCAGTTTTTTAACCTCTGGGCACTGCATAATCTGATGTAGACTCTCTTACTCTCAGTCTGTAGAAGCTGTTCCACTGTGGATAAATAATGAAAGTGTGGCTGGAGCAGAGTGACTGGAGGCAGGGTCTCTGCCTCTAATGTGAGTGTCCAACATGGTGAATTTTGTCCTTTGAGCTTTGTGTGTGCAAAAAAACCCATATTATATACGGACTTAAAATGGGTAAAGCGATGGGTGTTTTCACCTTTCTACAACTGAAAAATAGATTCCAAAACAATTCACTGTGACTGGGAACAAATGAAAAATTCCAGCCAGAAATTTTCAGATAACTACGAGCATGTGAAACCAAGGGGTTATAGTGAAAGTCCTTAATTGGAACTTTGTTATAGACATTATATGCAAAAATCTGAAGTTACAGTAGGAAGCACACTACTGGAGCCTTAAAGTTCCTTTCGGTCTTGAGGAGTGACTCACACTGAATAATCACTGCGTTCCCTAAGTGCATGGAGTGCAGACTGTTCAGGCTCCAGTACAGGATTGGGAAGAGTGGGATTCTAACTATTTTTCTTCGTAGCCTCCTATTAACCTGCATGTTGTATCCTTAAGACTTGGGAGCTGTCTTTTACTTCAAGTAGTTCTTTTGGGGATGTTCTGGTGAGATGCTGTTGTATAGGCATTCTTTGAAAGGACCAGTTCTGGTTCTTTTCTATTAGGTCAGCAGAAAGTGGGGGTGCAACTAAGGCAAAACATTTCACATTTTGGAGAAGAGTTCCAAAGCAGACTTTTTCACGATCTCACAAATCATCTGCCCTGTTGTTCTGCATCACATGACATATTTGGGGATATATCAGCAATTTCTTACATGGAAAAATAATACTAAAAAAGAACTGAATGCACATTAGGTGTCTTCTATGTATTTTAGTAACTGAAAACAAGGATGAGAGCCAGCATCAAGTGACTGCTAAGTTCTCCATGTACCAAGAGCAAGTATTCCATGGACAACCAGTGGTTCAGAGACCACAGTTTGAGACTCACTGCTCAAGAATACCAGGAAGGAGTAACACTGGCAACCTCTGAAAAGAATCCCATACAAACCTATTCAGAAAGAACGAAGGTAGCCATGAAGGACAAAAACTGGGAAAATGGGTTCCTCGGGGCCCTTACATAGACACATAGAGGACGATGGGGAAATAAGAAATAACATTTCATTTTTCTAAGTACCTCCTCAGCTACTGCATTTTCAGTTGAGAATTTCCATAGATAAGGACAAAACGAATATTATGGTTTTCTTTGGGGGAATTAATCACTTTTTCACTTGTTACTTTTTATTAGAAGCCTGATACCCTGTAACCTTGTTGCACAAGACAACAGATGTCCTTTTATGCATCAATTTTGAAAGAAAAATGTCTGTTTTCCCATTAAAGTAGGCATTTTTTGTTGAAAAATGTTTATGAATTATGAGAAACACACACCAAAATATGGTACAACTGGCACAGGAGAATGCCAAGTGGTTTAGGAATTCAATGAAAGCAAATTTAAAAAAAAGTCCCTCTCCTCTCTTTCTGGCATGCTGGAGATGTGTGTATCCTTTTACACATAAAATGTATTAAGGAATTGTTATGAAAAATAACAAAGAATAGCAGAGAACTCAGGAAGTGAATGGCACTTCAGATGAAGTTTAGCAAATTAAGCCATTGACCTGCAGAGGAGATTAATACCAAACAAGGTGCCCCTTCTTCTGAAGTAATGAATATTCTTCAAACAGCAAGGGAGCACTGACTGCTGTTTGATGCTGATGACATTGAAAATTTAGGAGAACAGAAATTCCATCATTTTTCATTTGTATGCAAATGCGCCTGTTCCAGAAATTAACCCCTGAACCCCATGTCAGTTTTCATCTGGAGGAATTCTCTTTGCTAGCCCCACACAGTGCAGCTTTGTTACTATCCTGGTGTCACTGGGGCTTCCCCACATAAAACACAACAAAACAAAAAAGAAAGGGGTGGGGAAGAGACCAAATCAGAATGCCAGGCTTTGTTTACCCCCATTAATAGGGTCTAAAGGAGCAATAGAAGCAGGGGCATGTTGTAAAATGTGCATCTCTAATGCAGGCTCCTGTGTACTAGCATAATTGAAATGCAAAATGCAGCCATACCTCTTAAGGAAGAACAGCTACCACTAATCATTTCCACTAGTGTTAAGGTGAACCATGGGACAATATACAAATCCTATTACTCTTCCTTTCAGCCAGGTCTTCAACTGTTACAAAGTTCCTTTGTTACTTAGCACCTTAGACAAATGCCACTATCTGCATGTGAAAGGGAAAGTGATGATTGAGGTTTTTCAATAGATGTGGATTTAATTATGCTAATTTAGACAGCTGTAAAGCTTTTTCAGTTTAGCCACATAATGGGACCAGCAGATACAGGTGTCCTTCACTGTGGGGAGCTTACTGTTTAAACCTAGTTGTTTTGTAAGGAAGGAAAAATGCAAAGTAATGGTTAACAGAAAACTATTTTCTGAAGATCGAACTAGGAAACTTCATCCTTACTCTTCAAACTCTCACCTTCATCCTCTGGGATGAGAAAGAAATCCACATTCAATAACAACAGTGCAAACACTTTGCAACTGAAGGGCAAGCTTATCTCTAACAGGTGTGGCTAAGGCTGAAACAAGAATGATCTTGTAGGTAAGGTATAGTCCTGCCACTCAGAAAACTGGGGTTTAATTGCCATCTCTGCCACAGACTTTCCATGCAATCTTGGGCATGACAGATAACCTCTCCAGCTTAGTACTGTTGTCTTGTTTTTAAGAAGTGACTATTGCAGACCTGTGTCAATATATCCTATTGTTTCTTTTTAATTGAAAATCAGGATGTAACTTAATACTTGTTAAAATGTGAGACTAATGGTGTTGTGAAGAGCCAGGCACAGTGCAGCTAAACGTCCTACAAGCTTTGTTATACAGTTCTGCCAGCCCACTGACTCCCTGTTATGTCACACACAAGCACCTGTTTCAGTTTGTCTCTGGTCTGATTTTAGATATAAACTTCTCTGGGTAGAAAACATGGCTGTCTCATCTGGTAAAAAAATGGTTTTCACAGTCTGCTCCAGAAACAAATACAAACCAGAAAGAGAGAGTTAATTGCTTCTGTGATGGGAATGAGAATGAGATTCACACAACCAGGATTTGAGCCCCATCTTCCACATTAATCTTTTTTGGGGTAGTTATATGCCCCTTATCATGATTGTATCTGAATACTTCATTTGCTTTAATATATCTATCCTCACAACACCCCTCTGAGGTAGGGCATGGCCATTAACCCTGGTAGACAGAGAAGAAACTGAGG